GCCTTGTTTTTTATATCTGAATTCAAGTTTTATCCTAGAGTTTTTCCCTTTTAGGGTTGTATCCAACATTGAGGAAGTGCTCCAGTTATCCCTCTTCTAAGGTGGCGATCGTCTTTAAGGGTCCGAGTGGTGCTCCGACTATACCTCGACTCCGCCGAGATATTTATGTGTTTGTCCGTCCCTTCTTGTACCCCTGCATCTAGCAGGCTGCTGTCCAACCCTCTCTTGCATCTAGCAGGCTGCTATCCTCTACTTTCATGCTGCTACTAGCTCACCCTCAACCCAACAGCAAGGCGCCGCCACTCCTGCCCTCTGCCCACTGCCCATTGCTCAGTAACCGCCAGCTGCTCCCTAGCCCACCAAATCACCTCCAACTCCTCGCCGCACCCCTGCAGACCGCTGTCCAGCTCCCTTCTGCATACAGCAGACCCTGTCCTCTACTTTCCTGCCGTCCAAACTACTGAGTCCTGCTACTCCCAGCTGCTATCAGACCTTCCCGGCTTACTACCCCACCTTCCAACCAACCTCCACCACCCTTGGAATACACTCTCGAGGTGTCCGTTTGTGCCGTTTTGTGTTTTGATGATGTTATTTCCAGTTTCTGCGTGTTGTAACCCTCTTTTCTTATTAATAAAAATTGTGTTTATGATTTGGGTTTTCTCCTCTGGTATCAATTCCTTAGGCCGAGTAGAGTGAGATGGATGTATATGTCAAGGATATGCTTAGCATCATCTTCTTTTCACGTAGAGGGATTGTCATTATTGGTATTTATTAAATAATTAGGAGGCACAAATCACGGTCTCTTGCAGTTTGGTACTAAACATGTCGACTTGACTCGAAGAAGCAAATCTAAGACAAATGAGATTTGATTGTTGGGCTTAATTGCTTATAAAGCCATCTAAAGCAATGTAATCGTAGCCACATATGAAGATATTGCTTGAAGCACAACACCTAGGATCTATGATTTTTAAAGTGTTTGAATTGGAAATTACAAAATAAAAAGTAAAACTACTAAAGATAAATTTATTTAACCAATTATTTGATCACGCCATTGTCGGGTCCCAAGCCCTGGATGTGAAAGGTGGAGAGTTGAGATAGGTAGTCGAGAGTCAACATAATTTTTTTGTCGAAAAGTTATGACAGGAATCATTTAAATCAATATATAAATGTTAGGACGTCTTCTGAAAGCGTCGCTTTGTATGACTTGAATTCAATAAAAAGTATGTGAGGACCGCTTCCCCAACACCCGGGTGTAATGTTAAATAAGTAAGGGTTCTCCATTATGGATGAATGCAGACAAAAAAGTTAGTTCATGAAACTATATATGTATTCTCACAGATATATTAATGTAATTAATATATATCTATGATTCATAGAAAAATAAATATCTCATGCATTTAAGAACCTAAATGTGTTGGAGAAAATGCTAAGAAGATTGATAACTTAGATTTTAAACTTTAGTATCCATGTAGGAGTTGTACTAGAAATAGTGTAGGTGTAATTATAAATAAGAGCTTGAAAAATGTCATAAAAATTAATAGAATTAGAGATGGAATTATAATCCTAAAGATTTTTGTTGATACTAAGATTCTTAATGGTAAAAGTGTTTATGCTCCTCAAACAGATTTAGATATATGTTTCAAAAGAAAATTTTTGGAATGACCTATAAGAATTAATATAAATGATACCTCTTGTAAACAAAATTTTTATTAGTGGAGATTTAAATGGACATGCTATTAGAAAATTTTAGAAATATTCATGATGACTATGGTTTTGGAGTGATTAATGAAGAAGAAGGTCATATTGAATTTTTATTTAGCTTATAATTTTGTTATTGCTAATAATTTATTTAAAAAAGGTGGTGAGCATATTATCACTTATAAGAATGGATCTAATAAAACACAAATTAATTATTTTCTTATGAGAAAAGGAGATCATCAAGAATGTAAATAATATAAGATCATTTCAAGTGAAAATTTAAGTACTCTACATTAATTATTAGTTTTAGATTTTAAGATTAAGGGTCAAAAATTAAAAATATAATAAATTATTGTTATATTATATGAGAGAGCACTTAAAAGTCAAAATCATTTTTATGAGTAAACTTCAAGATCTTAAAATTTGTGATGTTTATGAAGAAGCTTATGTTATGTGGAATACAATTACAAGCACTATTAAATAAATGACAAAAATTGTACTTGGAGAGTCAAAGGAAATTCTTTTATAAGTAAAAATAGTTGGTGGTATAATAATAATATGCAAGAAAAATAAAATATAAGAAGTTTGTTATTAAAATTGGTTTAAATATAAACACTTACATAATTGAGAAAAATATATGGTGTCCCGTAGAGAATCTAAGAGAACAATTTGTGATGCTAATAATTCTACTTTTAGTGTTTTTTATAATAGATTAGATACTAATGAGGTAAAAGATACGAGTATAAACTAGAGAAACAAAGAGAAAAACAAAATAAATATTTAATAAGTAAAGTCTATTATCAAAAAATATTTTTCTTAGATGAAGATATTCAACATAGGTGAGTGATATATTTGATAAACTTTTTAATGAAGTTTCTGAAAATACAATTGATTTTAGTGATCTTAATATCATTAATAATAATAAAATTTTTTATTTTTTCTGTCACATCAGTAAAAAGGGATTTGAGAAGGCTTTAAAGAAAAGGGTGAAAAAACAGTAGAACTTGATGGTATTTTAAAATAAGTGTGAAAATATTTAGGAGATTTGGGAATTTTTTGGCTTATTATGTTTTTTAATATTATTTTAAAAACTAAAAAGATGCATGAGTGGAAGAAGAATATTTTGGTCTTCATTTTAAAGAATAAAGTAATGATATTTATAATAGATTAGATATTAAAGAGAGATATATATATGTATAAACTAGCCAAACAAAGAGAAAAGAAAAGTAAATATTTAATTCAAGTAAATTGTATTTAAGATGTAAATCAAAAAACGATTTTCTTAGATGAAGATATTCAACATATGCGGGGGAGTTATTTTGATAAAATTTTTAATTAAGTTTCTGAAAATACAATCGATTTTAGTGATTTTAATGTTATTAATAATAAGAATAATAATTTTTATTTTTACTATCTTATTAGTAAAAAGAAAGTTGAGGCTTTAAAGAAAATTAAGAGTGAAAAATCAGTAGTACCTGATGGTATCCTAATAGAAATATGAAAATATTTAAGATATTTGAGAATTTTTGGCTTGCTAAACTTTTAATATCATTTTAAAAACTAAAAATATTCATGATTAGTGGAGGAAGAGTATTTTGGTCCCCATTTTTTAAGAATAAAGAGGGATGCACTAGTGTGTGTAAATTATAGAGGAATTAAGTCAATATGTCATACATCAAAATTTTGGGAGAAAATAATTAAACATAGGTTAAGATGTGATACAAAAATTTCTCATATTCAGTTTGGATTGATTTATGTCGAGCAAGTTTACTATAGTAGCTATACATTTGTTGAGAGATTTAATGAAGAAATACAGAGGGGGTTAAGACAATTTACATATGATTTTTGTTGATTTAGAAAAAAACTTAGGATAAGGCTCCAAGGGTAGTTCTTTGGAGTGTTCTGGAAAAGAAAATGTTGATATCACTTATATTCAAGTCATTTAAAGATATGTATACTAAATCTGTTACTTGTTCAAACATGAGGAGGATTGACAAAGTATTTTCCTATTACAACTAATTTACATGAGGTATCGTCTTTAAGTCCGTATTATTTTGCTTTAGTTATGAATGCTCTTAATGGGCATTTACAAGAGGATGTACCTTGGTGTATGTATTTCGCTAATGATATCCTTTTTGTGGATAAGACTAGAGAAAAAATTCAGGAAAAAAACTTAAATTATGGAGGTATACTTTAGAGTCTAAAGACATTCGTTCGAGTAGATCTAAAATTGAATACGTGGAATACAATTTTAGCAATAGTAGATATAGTGACAAAGTTGTAATAATGGGTGATCAAAATATTAAAAGGAGTGAAAGTTTTAGATATCTCAAGCCTATTGTTCAAAGCAATGATGATATAGATGGATGTTACTAGTAGAGTTCATGTTGGATGGTGGAAGTGGATGAATGCATCAGACCTATTTTATGATAGGAAAGTACCGCTTAAACTTAAGGGAAAATTTAATATGATGGCGGTGAGACATGCAATGTTTTATGACGCAAAATGTTGGCCTATAAAAGAGAAACATAAACTCTTATGTGGATGAGTGGCTTTGTGGCGCAAAATGTTGGCCTATGTTTTATGGCGCAGAATGCTAGCTTATAATTGTTGCTGCGATGAGAATGCTTATGCGGTTGAGTGGTCTTGTACTCAGAGAAAAAATGTGAAATGAATATATTCTTGAAAGTGTGGTGGTAACTCTCAGTCGCAAACAATAAGAGAGAGAGCCGTCTTGATGGTTTTGTCACATTAAACGTCAATCATCTGATGATCTGGTTAGGAGAGTAGATGTTTTAGATTCGACTTATGTTATGAAAGGCAGAGGTAGACTTGGGCAAGTTGTATAAAAATATGACATTTAATACGATACAATGGAGAAGTTGTCGATCCCACTTAGTGGGATAAAGGCTTGTTGTAGTTTGATCACGTAAATTTCCATTAAATCTCTCTGGTTTTGACAAAAATGCAAAAATCACTAAGAAAAGGTGAATCATGCATTTTGGTATTAATCAAGAGCATCAAGAAATCAAATGTGACTTCTAATTTTTCTCTCATTTTAAATTAATTCCTTAATCAGTCTAGATATATTATTTATATCTCGATTGTATTGTTCTTAATGCTATACAGAATAACTTGCAACTTCTTTTGTAATTCTTAACTTTTTTAATCGTTTTGTAATTATTTAAAGAAAAATTATGTTTAGGTGTTAGATATGTTTAATACGTAGGATTTGAGTGGAATATATATAAATCTTCCAACTTATTTTTGATAACCACATTGATGAACTCTCACCCCCACAGATATGAAGCGAAGAAGCGCATCACCGAAACGACACTCGATCGATTCCAGCTTCGGTAACTCATCCGTGCTCCACCGCTCTCAGTCGCAATTTCTAGTGAATTTAAACTCCCATTTTCCCCTTGAATTTCAATCTTTTATTATAATTTAGGTGAATCAAATATGGAAACCAGAAGGTCAGCTGAAGAACCAACAGAGAGGAAGATAATTTCATCAGGTGATGCAATGTCTCCTTAAATCTACATGGCATTGGGAGTGAATGACCTCCTTATTTTAGTTAAGGTTAGCCCCATGTCAATAAAGCTGCCATTTTGTAGAACAATTATATAATTATTTAGGTGTACAGAGCAATGTGTTTAAGGATGAGCAGAGTTCTCTGGTCCTTGTATAACTGAATTTTAGTGTGGTGGTTATTGTAAAACTAACTGCCCAGGTTGGCATTGCAATTAACTTGCCTTCTCTTGTGGCAGTTTATGGCCGCATTTTTGTGGGATAATGACAACAAGACTATTATATGTTTATTGTCATTGTCATTTATCAAGGAATTGTGTTTGGAAAAATTAGGGGCATTTGCATGTATACCACCCAATTATGTTTTTTTTATGTATTCAAGACTTAAATTTTGCTTTTTACAGTTATAACCAATTCCTTTACAGTTATCATATGCGATCATCATTCTAACTTTGCATGACAGTTTTTTTATATTGCACTGATATTTAAAAATTATATAATTTTCAATTAAAATGTAAAAATTATATTGATGAGAAGTACAGTTGTAAAAATTTATTTCTCATCAATAATTTTTTTTTTACAGAAGTCATACAAATAATATAAACATGTAGCCTGCTGCAAATAAAATTGTTACATGTTCAGTTCCATAATTTTACATGCTCTTTTACATAGTCCACCCTAAGGTCAACAAAAAACACTGCAGAGCAGCTTCTGGTGCCATCTTCATTATAAGTAAGATATGAACATCCCAAATATCTCATCCATCCACTACAAAACAGACTTTAGATGATCCACCACGGCAATAAGTGAAGAATTTCTCTCACAAATTTCCACGAGCAGATCGAATCGCCGAATGAGCTCGAAACCATGCAATGGATCTTCTGGAATTGGCAGTTTATATTTTACAAGATGGAGCAGCATGCCCTGCAAAGGTATATATACACGGAAATCACGGATTGATCGAGGTAAGAGCTGCAAACGAGTAAAGGGTGGGGTTCGAGCTTAATTCCATGAGTTTGAATCGGCTTACGAGCTATCTTATTTATTTTAAAAAGAGATGAATCATATTAAGGAAGATGTGCATACATACCACTTAAACCTGAATTTACATGTCTAACACATAAACTTCAAACTTTACGAAAAGATGTATTTCTTTTCAAAGCAAAAAATAGTAATATTTTCTTGATGTGATATCAAAGGTTTGGGTGATATAAATGTAAAAGGCAAAGTTTAGGCAGGTATAGGTATGTAAATATAAAGGAATTAGGTGGTATGTATCTAAATGCCCCTCGCCCCTAATATTAATTCAAGCTAGTTTTATAATAAGCTGACGAATAGAATGAACAATTACAAAATAAAAAATAAAAAATTACTTAATATAAAATGCAAAATATCATTTTTTTCACATTTTTAATCTTTTAAAGCTAAAAGTATTGAATTTTTATATAATTTGAGTATATTTTATATTAATTATTTTTTTTAATAGAGCTGTCTCACGAGCTAATGAGTCAAACAGGGGTTGGGTTGAGCCCATCTTGTTAGCTCATTAATTATTTTTTTAATAGAGCCGGTTCACAAGCAGCTTAGCTGCTCAGTTACACTTCTAGGACTTGTCACAAGAAGTAAAATCCTCTTCAATAAAAAATTCCAAATGGGGCATTTACATGAACACCACACAATTCTCATCTATTTACATATCTAAAACCTAGACTTTACTATTTACATAACTAACGCTCTAATCTTTTAACATAACATCAAAAATATCACTAGTCATTTTAAAAGTAAACTCCACCTTTATTTCATGCCTTTAGGTTCATGATACCAAATGTTCTAAATGTAAAAATCAAATTATAGAGGTTAGATATGTGAATCCAAAGAAATTGAGGGGCATGTATGTTAAAGCAAGGATGACTTACGAAATTACGATGCTTGTGCGAATGACTGCGGAGAAGAGACTTTGCCAGCTTATTGCGCAGCTTTAGCGTGTCGGGGGAGACGGATTCGAAGATGAGAGAATGAAGGTGATGCAGCGCTAAAGAGAAACCGAGCGAACGGCGGGTAAAAGCTTTTTCAAGGGAACCGGAAGTCCATGCCTTTGCATAGGCCTCCAGAATTTGCGCCTTGTCCTGTAAAACTTCGATATTTACATACATAACCCTTAAAATTTTAAGGTAAATAAAAAAAATGCCACTTTTACTGCGTTGTTTAAGGTAACATAAACCTTTTCATGCATAAGCTTTGATGTGATTATGACAATAAAATGTTATAAATGAAAATATCAAATTTTGGATGCTAGATATGTAAATACAAATAAAAAAGTAAAGTCATTGATTTACCTCTGGAGGTTCCAAGTATCCATCAGCTTCAGAGAAGCACATTTCCAACGGCGGCAAGAGCTCGAGCAAATATGAATTGGATAGAACATTCCATGTCGAAAGCCTGATCGGAAAATCAACACACCGATGCAGATAGATAGCTATTTGCCTGCCAAAAATTATGTCGCCGTATGATACGGCTCCAAACTGCCCAATGAGATCTTCAACAAAAGTCGAGTAGCTGTCATTGATTTGTGATTGAAACGACAAAATTTCACTACAAATGCCACCACGAGTTTCAGACAAATTCGAAGAAGAATCGCTAAACTTGTGTTCCGCTTTATGCCTCGATTTGTCAAGCTGTTTTCCATACAATTCTTGCAACGATTCAAATACATCTCGAGTCCTCTCGTCTTCGAGCACGGCCATATTCGCGTGCAAGGACATGGACAAGGCGTGCAACTTCCAAACCAAAGATACATTAAAAATCGGAGATTTCTGATCACTAACCACTGTTAGAGAAGAGGCTTCAAGGCATAGCAGAAAAAAGAGACCAATTTTCGCAGCTTCGAGTTCATTCGATGAATTTGAGTCGAAATTTTTTAGTTCACCAATGCCGCAGAGTGCGCTGAGAAACCAATGCTCGGGAACCGGCAGCCTCTGGCGAATCCATTCTATACAAAAAGAGCTAAAAACCGTATCTTTCGAAGAAAGTTTCAGAATCTCTTCATTCTCCTGATCCTCATGAATTGTTTCGAGAAGCGCAGTTTTTCTCGAAAGCTCGTGTTTTTTAGTGTGCTCTGCGGCATCGCCGGAGGATTTGGTCTTGAAGCTCAGCCACCTCTCTCTAAAATGAGAATTTAAAATCTTGCTGAAAAGTAAATAGTCCTTGTCCTCATATTGCCATTTAAATGATTTCAATCTCTTGTCTAGCTGGAGAAAACGATGGAGGAAGAGGCCAAGATACTTCAACACAGGAGGTTGGAACAGTACCTTGAATGCCGCCTCCACTATATCTCTACCTGCAGGCCCAGCAACCAAACAAATCGCAAGGACGCAATTTATTCTATGTAAAACATGGTTCGTTGGGTTGGGAGATTCTAAAACCAACGGATTCATGGATTCAATAGAAGCAAGATGGATTTCAAGCACAATTGGGAAGTTTTCTAGTAATTCCAAAACAAGCCGTGCATCTTCTTGTGCCCGCAAGACGGTTAATGACCAAAACCCCCCGCAGGGTGAACCCCATCCGACGCCAACCCCCGGGGCTGGTCCGCCTCGGCCAAATGCCTCGAGATATTGCACCATTGGCCATTCGGCAGAAACCAAGCTCCCAAATGCATCCAATACTCCCGTGAGATCATCTCGGCCCCATTTAATCATCCCTTCTGCTATTACCTTACCCTCCTCGATGTCGAAGCTACTTTCCGTGTGAAGCTGAATGTCACACGCATTTCTAGCTCTCTGAATACAGTCATCGATTAACGAAGTGAGTTTAATCAACCCATGTAGACAACATAATGAAGAAAACGACATATCAAAATCATCTTGATGCCTCAGATAACAAAGTCTTTCAATAAAAGAGCAACCTTTACCTTCTTTGAGACACAAAAATCCATTTTTAACAATCTCAATGCCAACTTTAGGAACAAATTCTGGCAACCATGGCAAGCTTGTAGAGTTATTCTCATCATCAGCTCTTCTTAAGCTCATTTTACCGAAAACGCAACAAAACATGTGCAGTACCGCCGAAATAACCCAAATGATGCTGCTTGACGATGAATTATAGATGTCATTTTCTTCGAAGCAACGAGTCATTGAAGAAACATATGGGATGTCGTTTAAAGATAGCCAACTAATAGCGAAGTTTACCATTGGAACAACATGACTCCAAGACCAAGTTTCTACAAAATCATCCCCATGGTCTGTGTCGCGCTTAATTAGTTGGTCCGTAGAATGAAGGCATGGAAGCAATTCAGCAAGAGCACCTAGAACAACATATGCTTCCCTCACGACATGAGCGAACTCATCAAGGACGCTAAATTCAAGTAGTTTGTTGAATGTAGGTCGACTAAGCCATCGACACAAGTTTGGGAAGAAATCAGCGAAGTATGATACACAATATCCATAACTAACACAAACTTTCCACAGGCGAAGCTGTTCAATCATAAGTGAAGAAGTGAGCTTGCAGTGTTCTTTTCCAGATTCCACCCATTGATCAATTGTATTAAGATTTCTGTACCAGTGCCACATTACTTGTTGAAAAACCCCACTTTTCACAAAATTTAAGCATAGGCGCTTATCCATTTGAGACAAAACCTGAGAAAAGCACATAGCAACACAATATTAGTGGTTTCACAGTAAAAAGTAAAGTGCCAAAATAGTCTCTTGACTGTTTACATGGGACCATTTTAGTCCCAGAGTCTATAAAAATGTCAAATTCGTCCATATACTCTTTAAATTGAGATTATCATCATCATTATTATTATTACTAACTTGGATTGAAATGAGAAAATGAGCTACAAATTTAAATTATTTAACTAAGTTTCAATTATTTAAAACTTCTGTCATCCATTCATAATGATGAATAATAGAGCTAAATCATTCCCAATAAGTTTTGACCCCTTATCAAATTGAACAAAATAAAAGAAAACTTCATTCAGGCATTAGACAAAAAAAGTCATGTACTAATTTCAAATCTAGCCGATAAAAAAACCAACAGCAAACATCATCTGATATACACTTCAACGGATAAATTACAAATTTACACTTGAGATATCTTACTAGAGAATAATTCTCAGCAATATGAGAGAATTATTCTCTATCAACGAATATATTACAAATATGGTGATAAGTGACAAATTATGAATTCAAACAGCTATCTCTGCAATAGGGGAGAATGTGTCACCATAATCATTCCAGGTGACATATAGAGCCTATCAATGTTATGTGATTATCATAATGCTTATTTTAAATCTAACAAATTAAAAGGGTTGCAGGGCTAAAAAAAGTTCGCATAATCACAATGATCGATAAAATTGAGCAGCTACTGAAACCAGCATTAACATTTAAACCCAACAGTATCAGAGAATCGGTAAGGTCTGAAAATGATTGATATACACATATGTCAATAAAAATTTACCTTTAATAGAGTAATTGCTTTTATCTGACACAAAAGTTCCATCATGCCTTGCATTGTCGAAATGTTAACAATATTTTGAATAAGCCTTGGGCATTGAAAGACGGCATTCGCACAATATGGGGAATGCCTAGCCAACCCAATGAGCACTGAAAGAAGGCATTCTACTAAAGCTGGAATCGGCTCCATCTGAATGAAAAATTTTGAGGCATCAAGTTAAACATGAAGTGCAAGGTTTTTTATAAAAGTACATGAACAAAAAGAATTATGAATCTAAGAAAAGTCGAAGAAAGCGGAAAAATCATTAGATAAATATTGGCTGTCTCAAGGTTAAAGAATATCATAATAGAAGCAAACATGCACACAAAAATGCAGAACTGCATAAGAAGCGTTTGTGTAAATAAGCACATCAAAAAATATTTGAAAAGATTTTAGCATTCGTATAGACTGAAAATCAATTACACCTAAAAAGTCAAAAGAGCATTCTACGAGTAATTTCTACGCGGCAACAAAATAGGTACATTGTTTGATTAAAGAACTTCAACCTAAATAAATCATGAGGGTGGATGGGTGGTTGGGCGAGGTTCTGTTCCCTTATAAATAAATTAAACTATAAAAACTGTATAAATATTATATAAACTATAAATACAATCTTCCACTCAACCCCAAAGCCAGAGCCCACTCCCTATTGTGGCCCGCTGAGGAAAGGCATAAGTACAAGAGTGGGTTCCAGATTCAAGATTCGGTGGAAAATGGGCCAGAGAGCATAGTTATAATTTTATAATATTTATAATTTAATTTATTGGGTCCAAAGGATCTCATTTTAGTAGATCTAAAACTAAGTACATGAAATGTTATTTTAGTAACAATGGTTGATCAAGTGATCAAAAGAAGTGAACATTTTAGATATCTCAAGTCTATTGTTCAAAGTGATGCAGATATTGATGGGGATGTTAATAGTAGAATTCAAGTTAGATTGTCAAAGTGGAGGAATGAAGGATCTATTGTGTGATAGAAAAGTACTGCTTAGACTTAAAAGGAAAATTTTATAAGGTGGTGGTGAGACCGGCAATGCTTTATGGAGCAGTATGTTGGGCTATAAAGAAGAAGTATAAAACTAAGTGAAGTGTTCCCGAGATGAGAATGCTTATGTGGATGAGTGGCTTTACACTTAGAGATAAAATGGATTAGCTTGTCAGTTTTGAGTTAATTTCAGGTTGACAAGTCAACCAAAACCCAACCTAAAAATTAAAAGGGTTAGAATTTATAACCTGGACCAGACTCAAATATTATTCTGGTCAAACCAAACATAAAATTTTCAAGTCGAGTTCGGGTTGAGTTGTTGTGTCAGGTAAATTTTTGAGACCAATAAGAAAAAAGATAAAATGCTAACATAAAATAAAGAATCAACATTATAACCATTAGCATTATAGCCTGATCTCATTCCCTGATAAATTTTGTTCTAAGACTCCAATTTACAAAGAGATAAGGGAAACTAACCTCCAAAAGGTAGCATATTCGAGGAAGAACGCCCATCCTAACAAGACCCGCAGCAATATCTTGACCAGCTACAACAATATCATCTTGAATAGTATGTTCCCCCACACCTTCATCATCATTATCAATGTTTGATTGAATTATATTTGATGGCTTCGTGCTATACTTCCAAAATCCACCATGGAGAAAGCTGCTATCAATTTCAGCTCTGCTCCGGAAGATGGGGGCGGTGCAAAGAACTCTTTGAATGGCAGGAACTTTCTAGAAAATATAACAAAATGATCTGAAATCTAAAAAAGAAAAAAGAAAGGTTGATTTGATAAATTGATCGATCCATCTTACCTCGGCAACATTAAAGAAGCCCTCGTTCATGTCACAGCTCAATATGGATTGAATTACCTTAGCACAAGCCAAAACAACAGAATGATGATTATCATCCAGGGCAATCCTGTGATTTGTATCAAACAAAAAATAAATCATCTGATAAATATTCAAAAACTGTCCAACGTGGATCTCACAAAACTACATGAAATTTGTGTGCTATTGGTTGTTTTTTTTTTTTTGTAAGGATTGATTTCATTCGCATGTTTCATCATCACTATTTTTGACGAAACACAGGTCTCAAATTTTCCACCAATAAAGATACAATATCTAAAGCAAAATTCATATCTTCAATTAATCCAAAGTAGTTAGCATCTGCATAATTTTTAACCCTCATTTAATTATTTCTTTAGTGGAATAATCATTTTCTAGGAGTTTCTTATCGTATTTTAAAATCCTTAGAATAGACTCCTAATGTTTGCATATACTAGCCACCCCAACAACAAAGTATATATTATGTATCATGACAGTCAAATAAACAAGCTTATCAACCAATGTCGCAGGTGATAACCATCTTAATTTTCCTTATACCCAAACATTTGAATGAAATACATAAGAGAGTTGGCAAGCTTGCGTTCATGAAAGACCTTTTTCTTTGGGTAGAAATGTAGCGTGTTTCCTTTTTAACAGAAAATTGCTTCTTTATTATATGCAAAATCAATAACAAAAAGCACGTTAGGCATTCAAGATCACTGGTAACAAACTACTGGTGAATATATTATTTTAGTTCAGTCAGGTAGGAAACACCGCTCCTCATGAGAAAAATGCCATCAACATACATAACAAGATGATGTGCCACGGAAAGAGCATCAAATAAGAATATAATGATTATTAATACTACTTCATAGTTTAATATCAGCGAGCGCCTTGAATTTTGTCGAACTAAGCAGGAAAATTTTATTTTGAATAGAAGATGGTTCTTTAAAACATATATATTTTGTTCTTCCCTTCAAGTAAGTGCCATGCAGGTTGCTGCATATAAATAGTTTTATAAGGTCCTCATAAAGAAAAGCATTGTTAAAAGCCAATCAAAGTATAATCTATCCTTTGATCAACAACATCAAAAAGTAAAACAAAACAAGAATAAGTCAAGCAACTAGGGCAAAGTCTCATAATACTAGCTGTCATGAACCAAAGTATATTCTTTTGTTATTAATCGAATTTTGTAGCATTCAATAGATTCATCAGGATGGAACATAACAGTGAAGATTCAACCATAATGTGTTTTACCCCTAAAGCAATGTAATCAAATCCTAAATATATTAATCAATATGGACACCTATTTCAATATTCAGTGCATGCTTTTGTTGTGGGCAATAGCACAAGAGAAAATCTCTCTAAGAATTAGGAAGCCACGAAAGCAACAACAATTCACTATCATGCACCAAGTTCTTGAAAAGTAAAATCGAGAACAGAAGTGTTCTACTTTATCAAGTTAAGGAGTAAGCTTCAAAGTAAATCGAGATATAAGCCTCAAACTAAAAATTAAAAACTCATAAAATTAAACATGATTCATGAGCAGGCCATACATCAAGTTTAGTTCTTCATCATAAACCCTAATATCACACTATAAGAAAAAGTATAAATTATGAAAAAGAGAAATAATACATATTTGGCTAGTCATTGGATGCCATGAGGCATAAAGGCTCGATCATTGTAGTCTACTGGAGTGTTGGAGTTGAAGATGAATGTATGGTGGGGATGATAAAGTCATGTTATAGAGCATAATTAATATCTTGCAAAGAAATACCTCATGCAGAAAGTACATGAATTAACCTTCAAGTTAAGGTCGCTGTGAAAAATAGAAGAGGGTGCAACCCTCAAAAGATATGTACTTCTCATGATTTGTTTCACTAAATACATCTTAAAATTTTCATATGTAATTTCTATTGCCCGAGGTTTTTCATCAAAAAAAGTGTCGTTGCCAGAGTCTCACAAAAATGAAATTAACAAAATAGGAAGGCAATTTAAAGTTCTTTTGAAAAACTTCAACATTGTCAGCATGAGATAAATTGTAGCAACAAAACTGACATTAGTGATCAATTGGGTAGACCAATAAAAGAACTCCTAATTTTTTTGTTTATCTTAGATTCTTTTTTTTTTTCTCTTGATGACTTGAATAAGATCACAAACAGATTCTGAACAAATAAATGGTGAAACCAAAAGGTTAGTGCAAATAAAGATACTAAATATATTTTTTTTAAAAAAAATTTGTGTGCAAAACAATGAGAAAAGAGATGCTCAACCACACTAAAAAAAAAAGTCTAAAGAGTTTTTCTAAAAAATAATAAAGAGCTATTGGACCGTATAAAAAAATATAATTAAAAAAAAATCATTTTGAGGAGTTTAACCCAAATGCCTTGAGATCTTATTCCTCAAGGTGAATGCCTCAGTCGAAAAAGAAACCCACATATCTTAATTATACCACAAAAACATAATCCCCGAGTCAATCAATAATGCCGCATAGTGAGGCATGGCTTGGGCAGATGCCTTGAACATATTTTAAAGCATGTTGTGTGCTTCCTGTTGCAGTTAATGTTGCAAAATTCTATAAAGTATTTAGTTGAACTTCTAATAACAAAGTGTGCAGAACATTGTACCCAAAACCTTTAACAACACTGAATACTAACTCCCAACTTCCTCCAAAGCATGGTATGCGAAGAATATAAAGAAGGATGTAATGAATAGTCTAAGCAAAAGAGTTAAAAGTGAGAAACAAGAAAGCTCTTAGTATTCACCGTAAGGACAATACAAGCTGAGGTTCAGGGCCAAGTGCGTAAGCCCAAATTGCCTGCCAATCAACATGATTGCTGGCAGTATCATTTTTAGCATCAAGCCAACCCTTGTCGTTCAGCAAGTTGAACTGAGCCTTATTCAGGATAGAATCAAGAAGTTTTAAAGCAAGAGCTCTTTGTGCAGGAACCTAAGACCAAAACACAAAAGGAGCTTAGAGGAATGAGCAACAAAAGAATTTGAGAAACAGAAAAGAGCAGGTAAGTATGACATAATAACAATATATGAACATAAGATTTTAACAAATCTATCGAAGATTCTATTAATTACCTGCAAGAATGGCATAAAAACTTCAAATCCTATCAAGCCTAACAAATCTGTAAAACAATTTAATTAGAAACTTGCAGTTAAAAAATATGTTTTTGATTTCTCAGTTGTCCACACAAATTCTCTAAGGTAAATCCTTCACAAGAGTAAATAATGAAAGAAAAAGGCCATAGAATTAGCCATTCCATGGACAACCTCTTTAAATTAGTTTTCTCCCTTCGAAGCACAATGCCGTAGGATTGATTAAAGGCTCGTTTAGGGAAACTTTCCTGCTGCTTTTTTGTTTCAGAAGAAGTCCTTTCTTCATTTGATGAGTTGTTTGGTTATTATGCTATTTAGAAACGCTTTTAAAAAGACTATTTTTTTCAATTCAGGTCTTAACGTCTATCAAACTTTAAAAAGCAGATTTTGTTAAAAAGAACAGGTTTTTAACAGAATTTTTGAAAGGACAACCCTAAAAAAACAAAGCACAAGGAACTAAAAACCTAAAACTAGGTCTATGTCTTGTTAAAATGTTCCTCATGAGTTGTAGATCATCGAATCATTCCTCTATGATTAAATCTTGAAACCCTTAATCAAGAAATTCCAAGAGGAATGAATTATTCAGGCTCAGGAAGAGCTTCTCAAGCATCAACATAATAAAAAAACTTGATTCTTAACCTCATTCACGTAAGATTGACTTCTGTCCAAGCCCAAGCGATCTGGATGGTAGAAATTGAATGGTAACTGACACGGAGCTAAAGCTTTATTTTAATTTATATGTCAAGTTTTATGTGCTTTAGTTTGTAATTTAAATGTATGCTTTAGTTAGGATAACATACTTATAATTAGGAGAGTCTAGCCTTTATAAATAAGTTGGTTGAGTACAGGGAAGGCAGTTTTTGGAGAGTTTTTTGGTTTTTCCTGAGCGTTGGTTTTGCTTTCCTTGTGGATGTATCCAGAGGTGGCTCTCAGGTGATGATTTTGTCATCGTATCTTGTTCTTTCTCAGATATCTTGAAGTGTATTGTTTTTAGTAGTTTTTCCTACTCTCTGTTGGTGGTTTTCTGTTGATTCCCACTGCATATTTCTTCTTCCTGTGCAATCTAGCATCTTCTTCTCGCTGTTGCTGCTTTATTTGGTATCAAAGAACAGTTTTTGTGCATCTCCTCCTCCTTCCCCCACTTCGGGCGCATTTGTTCTTTTCCTTCTCCCAGTTCTTGCGCATTTTGCTATTTTTTCTTCTCTGCTGTCCGGATTTCTGTCCTTGTTGTGGGTTCCCTCTGTTGTGGACGCAATTCCCTTTATGTCCAATCGTGGAAGGTTCTTTCTACTTTCAATCATGCCTCCACGCAAGAACATACCAAGAACCAATCAAGAAGTGTCCATGGAGGATCTTTTGCGTGAAATGCTGTGTATACAAGAGAAACTTGCAGCATTGGAACAAAAAAAGTATGGAGGAACGTTCAGCAACACACGATTGCGAGGCAGTGGAAAAAGGGATGAAAATCCTTTTCATCAAGCTTTTTTTAAGCAAAGATGAGCAGCCCCTTCGTGCATGGAGGACAGATAGACAATGCAAACCCATTTATCCTGAAACTAAGATTGATTTTCCTAATTTTGAAGAACGTCTAGACCCGAACGAGTTTATTAACTAGTTGCACACTGTCGAAAGAATTATTGAGTTTGAAGAGGTTCCCCAACATCAAATTGCGAAGCTTGTTGTCATCAAGTTGAGGAAGAAATATTAATTTTGGTGGGAAAACTTAAAATGGATGAGGCAAAAAAAAGGAATGATCCAAGATTATTACGTGGAGTAAGAAGAAAAAGGAATTGCAATATAATTTTTCCGCGATCATTATCAGCAAGAGGTATTCATCCATCTTCAACATTTACACAAACAGGAGATGACAATATAAGAATACGCGAACGAATTTGAACATCTCGAATTGAAATGCAATCTATTTGAACCTCAAGAACACTATTGCACGATTTTTTTGTGGTTTGAGGTCTTATATGGCCAATGTAGTTCAGCTTCAACTTTATTGGTCACTCTGGGATGTTAACCTTGTATTAAAGGTGGAGCGACAACAAAAATGGGGTCAGAAAGTTTCTTTGTGTGATGCAACAACGGAACAAACTAACTTCAATAAATTTGGCCAAGCCAGGGTGCTGCCAGCCAATTAGAAACCGGGAAGGCAACAGGCCTTGTGGAAAACCTGTTACGGAAGTGATAAACAATTAATCTAATAGATGTTGCATCAAATGGCATGGATTTAGTCATATAGCTGCCAATTGTCCAAATCATCGTGTTATTTCATTGATTAAAGAGGGAGAACTCGAGACAAGAGATTCGCTAGAAAAAAAATAATAATTTGATTGGGGAGCAAACAATACATGCATATGAAGAAGAATTACTTGTAGTGCAGCTCATCTTAGTGTCGATTAATCCTCCAACAAGGATTGATTGCAACACAATATTATTAGGACCCGGGCACCGTCCAAGCCAAGATGTGTAATCTTATATTGACGGCGGGAGTTGCGAAAAAGCGTCCTCTACCATGTTTGAAAACCCGGGCACCGTCCAAGTCAAGATGTGTAATCTTAGAGTTGCGAAAAAGCGTCCTCTACCATGTTTGAAAAGCTTAGGCTAGTTACCCAAGTTCACCAACATCCTTATCAACTTGGCTTAAAAGAGGAAATGAAATCAAAGTCACAAAGCAAAGTTTGGTGCAATTCTTTGTCAGGAAGAGATTTCAAGAGAAAGTGCTATGCGACGTTATCCCAATGGATGCTTGCCACCTCCTTCTAGGGGGTCCTTGGCATATGACCGCAAAACCATTCACGACGGTCATGTAAATATGCACTCCTTCTTGGGCAATGATACTCAAACAACCTTGGTTCCCATACAAGAGGAGGTGCGGCAAAAATTGAAGGGTTGCCCAGTTGAGCTAGAATTTGAGGTGGAAGAAGAAGTTGAAGACCCATTTCACCAAGAAAATTAGACGAATCAAGAAAATGAAATTTTTAAGGAGGTGAAAATTCATTTCATGAAGCCTCGATTTTCGATGGGCTTGAAGATTTGAAGTTGGAATCAATGTGAATGCTCGTGTACGACGAGCATGACAATGACTATTTTTCAGCCTCTACTCGCGTGTGGTATGCTCGGAAGGGTGACCAATTTTTGGAGGGCAAATTTTTGTGCGGTTGACAAAAAAACTGATGGTGAAGATTCTCATGTTGGAAGGATTTACAGAATGATCAAACTAGGCGATATGTTGATTATATTTATCTCAACCATCAGCATCAACCTGATATACATTATCATATGATTAGGCATCATTGTTTCAACAACAACCAAGCTTGAAAACTCAATCACTGCATTCTGACAGTGATATGAGACAAGCTAAATATCTTATAGCAAGAACTGTACATATTAGTCCTGGTTCTGAAGAAATTGATTTCATATGAATCGAGATGCTTCATAATTGGAGTTGAAAATCCCTTGATCCAGTTTTAACAGTGACAATGTTAGAGGATGTTCGGATCATCAAACTTGACCTATATGGGGATTAGAGCGACTCAATCACTTTCAATATTTTCAATTTGGCTGCTCATTACAAATCAGGTTCTAAGACTATTCAATATAACGGGACCTTGCCAATCCCGGGAGAATAATGCGGCTAGAGTTTTATTTCAATTCATTTCTTTGTTTATTTGTTTTAGTTTGATATTTGTGCATTTATGTTTTTAAAAAAATTTTAATGATCCCACCTGATTAAATAAGAATTCAAACAAAGTATCCAAAAATAACCATCCTCAAGATTGGTGATGATAAAATATGCATTAAAATAATCAATATCCTCATGGTAAATTTTTTTAATTCTCAATTCTGACAAATAAAAAATGAATTGCAAAATTATAACAAAAATAAATAAAACAAAATAAAAATAAAAACAAACCATGCTTCGAATCAGCGCTATCACTTCCTTGATTGAGTATCCTAAAGCTGCGGGATCCCCCTCTGTTCGTAGAAAATCACGTTCTGCCACATTTTCAACATCAGGTTGAGCACCTTCCTGCTTACAACCTGCATGTAACAATGGCAAAGCCTCCATCTAAACAGATGAAGTACAACATAAATCTAATGTTCTAGAAATAGTAACATACTGTAAAAACTAATCTTAAGGCTCTTGGTAGTTTCCATAACAGTAAATCTAAGAGAAATTTACATAGAAAACACACATATCTTATGTAAATGCTCCCTGCCATTCTATAAAGCGAAGGTTTGCTATCATATAGAAGAATGTTTTCAAGCAATTCCTAAAATATAACTCTAGTAACGAGAAAAATCAATATGTTCACCTATAAACCTCTCCTAAATAATTCACAAATCAATATGATAAAAAGAGATGACTCTTCTTTGTATATTACAAAGTTGAAAACTTACCACTAGGTACCAGATACGAGTCCACATCCAGAACATCCCCTTCCAAGCTAAACCTCAAATCCCTCACTTTCTCCACTCTTTCACTCCAAATCTTCCAAGAATTGCTATTAACTTGTTCTGAAGACACCCAATCCGCATGCTCTGCAGCCATTCCAGTACTCTTGACACCTTGGGAAGGGCTTCCACCTGCAACATTATCCTTACCAGAAATCTCATCACTTTCAATCATTTCATGTACGCCCTTTTCATGACCTGAAGCAACAACCTTTCTGTTACCCAACTTTTCTTGCCCCCTCTTCCTCAGCATCGCAACCATTGCTGGATTCATCTTTCCAATTATCTCCGCCTGTGCATCTGCAATCTCCTCCTGCGACATCTGCTTTAAACGAGCAAGATTCTCAGCGTGGATGTCTTCCATGGTTGATCCAAATCCTTCCTTGTTAGACATCAACATCTCTGTATCCCCTCCATTGTTGTCGAGCTTCCCTGTTGCAACTGCAGGCAGCCCCGCACTGTTACTTTGTGATAACTGCGTTCCATATTCATCGTCAACCATATGACTGCTAGCTTTAGCTCTTTTAACAGCAACCAACGGCTCCGACGATCCCTGAACTACCTCCTCAAATGCCTCACGGCAAGGTAAATTTTTTGTCGCCAAAATTTTATTGTTTTCCTCACTATGTTTAGAGAAACCGTAATCGCTCTGGGGGACGAAATTCCTCCATCGGCTAAAATCCAAACCTTTCTTCTCCTTCCTCTTGATGGGGCTTGCGAAGGCTGAGTAGTCCGTCTCGTCCATGTCATCCTCTTCCTCGAATTCTGGCTCGACGTGCAGAGGATTCCAGTGCTGGAGCATTTAGGTTGTTAGAGAAAACAATGAAATAAGAAAAGGTTTAACTGATGAGAGCTTACCGGGCCGTGGGATCGATGTCGGGCGACTGGAAAAGGAAGGACCGTAGGTTGGGGGTAAGAGATGATAGAGGGATTTGGGGGATTGGATGATGAAGAGGAGGAGGAGGAGAAGCCCTTCTCAATGATGCTGCCTACGAGACCGTTGGTGGCGTGGATTTCTTCACTTTGCGGCTTCGTGGAAGAGAAATATACCGCCTTAGGTTTCCGGGAAACGGGGGGATTCTTCACGGATCTCTCTGGTTCCATGTTAATCCCCGATTATGTATCAAACTGATACTTTAGAGGAATATCGAGGCTTCAAGAGGTATTAGGGTTGAGCGGCGATTTCTGCAGTTGTTGCAGAGAACGCTAACCAACCGTCATTTGCCGAAAGTCGCCGGAGGCGATGGTAGAAGGGGTTCAGGGTTTTACAGCCAATAGTCATGAATTTAACTCAAATTCACTCATACATGAAAAACTAAAATCCCTCATTTTGAGGTCAACTTGTGCAGGTAGGATTTATTAAAAAACAATCGAAATCACTAAAAAATAATATGATATTTATAAATATTATGGTGGTTATTATATTTATAAAAAAAAATTCAGATAACACACATAAAGCTGTCATCGCACCTAATTATGATTGGTGGGAAAAAATAAATTTCAGCAACCATTTTTTGTAAAGGCTGTCAAAATACGATTTACCCAAACAGACAAAAATGTGATGCGGTACCACAACGCCAACGCTCCAAACGGTGTGGTACATCTCCTTATCCTCTGTTCCGTCCCTTATTCTATTTCTCTCTGGTATCCACTTTGACATAAATCGGGACTTAATATCCGAGACTCTAAGTCAAATTACAAGAATTTATTCCACCGTGCTCTCATAGTCCATCCCCAACATTAGAATCAGTGAATTGGATAAATCATGTTTTACGTTAATATCCAACTCCTATCAAAACACCTCCTTCAATTATGGCTTCCTTTGATAACATAGTCCGTAACGTCGAGTAAACGCAACGTATAAATTTATATTTTAGTTGATAAAATAACATATTCTAATATCTCCCTAAATCGGTTCAACGAAACGGAAATTTTTCATACTTTTTTAGAGCGGAAACAACGATGCATGTTCCACCACGTAATTTTTTAGGAAGTGTCACCGAACGAACTAAGCTCCTTCAAACAAATCATATATCAAAATATATACATAATAATAAATTAATATTAATTGTTTCTTTAATGTAATTTAAAAAAAAATGGGTATTCTATACATAAATGTGTATATTTAACTATTAAATATATAAATTGATAGTAACTCAGTATTTTGCATATAAATTTCCCTATCTTGAAAGGTAGTGGTCTCTTAAGTTAAATAGTGTTAGAAGGAAAAATCACATGAGCACAATTATGGTAAGGTTAAGGCCTGACTAAAGTGATGTGGAATGTTGAATAATGATTCATTGTAGGGGGCATTAATATCAATCAATAGCAAGGCAATAACAAATAGATGAATGTGTAGGCCGGTCGGCAATGAATAATGCATGTTGATGTTGATCAGCAATATATGATGATGAATATTCGTGTTGGTCGTTGTTATGGTATTTAGGTCGTGGCATCGTCGACATGCACAATGACTGTCTCAGCTTATTATAAGAACTAATAACAGATATTGACGTTAGTCAATGAAATATGACATTGAATGAAAGAGACCGACATTAGTGTTGGTCAACAATTGAAGTTGGGGCAACTTAATGGTGAACGATTAACGATGATAGATGATAAACATCAATGTCGATTAATGGAGCTTTCAACTTTTATACGAGTCTAATGTTTTTCTATTTTGAAATTATCTTTGATAGTATATAACTAATTCTGATTTATAGATTTTATGGAAAGAATTATGGTCATTAATTTCATAATCTTGAATAATCCAACAAATTGTTAAGAGAGGTCCCTCAAGGCCATTTCATATTTTTTAAGATCAATTACTTAGAGAAAGAAGAGGAAGAGAGATTGGAAGAAGAAATCAAAAGAAAGATAAGTTATGCTTTTATGTTTCCTTTGTATTTTCCCATGCATTGCGGTATACAAGTGTGGTTGTATATACAGGCACTAATAATGCCAAAGGTGTAAATAAGCTGAAGGCTATAACAGTCACTTTACAATTATATATAGAGTTAATAAGTACATTTAACTTAGCTTCTAACCTCATCAATTTGTTTTCCTGTCTTCAATAATTAATAAGAAATAGTTGTTGGGTCTGACGAGTTGATAACAAATCCTCTCTCTCCATTGGGCTCATATCTTTTTAAACAAATATAGTGTATACCATATTTTTCAAAGAGATCGCTATGCTCTATTTGCTCTATTATAGGAAAAATTGTTATGTGTGACTGAGTGTAAGTCCGCACAACGGTTATTTAACTTAGCTTCTAACCTCATCAATTTGTTTTCTTTTCTTCAATAATTAATAAGAAATAGTTGTTGGATTTGACGAGTTGATAACAAATCCTTTCTCTCCATTGGGCTCACATATTTTTTAACAAATATAGTGTATATCATTTATTTTTTCGAAGAGATCGCTATGCTCTATCTGCTCTATTATAGGAAAAATTATTACATGTGACTGACTGCAAGTCCACACAATGGTCCTGATGCGACCACGCAACTGCGGATCACATGACGACCCTTTCGGACCATCTTCTGAATGTGATATCACCAACGACAACAAATGTTATAAATTAGTGATGATTTTACAAGCTTATTAGTAAGTTCACCTCAACTCAAACTCATAGCTAGTTTCATAGATCAATTTATTTTAAGCAAAAAAACCGATGTATATTGATGCGTGATAAAAAAAATTGCTACGATGAAGTAACAAAGTATCGTCTTAGTGTTGTATGAAGAATCAACTCACACTCAAAAGAAAGAAAAAACTAGTTGAGACATCAAAAGTTTTTTACATGGAAAAACCAGCAAAAGGAACTACCTTGGGGCATAGCTCAGTTATAAAAATCAACTATAAGTTAATGATTACAGAGATTCATTGTCCCATAGAGGGGAAAGAATTACAAATTCTTTTGAATTACAATGATTGTGCACGGATAAACTTGTTGCAATGAACAGGAGAGGATCAATGATGATTGTCGGTGACCTGCAGGTGATGGTCGACGGTGGACGATGGTGGTCGATGGCGATCGACAATGATAAGTTGTAGTTGAACTCGTCCTATCAATCTTGTATGTGATCTAGAGTCAGCAATTGACGGAGATCTGTACCAATGTCATATTGTGCGAGACAACATGATGACTACCTCTGTTTGCACGGCATAAAATAAATGGTCTCTCGCGAGGAGGACTCTCAAATGTTGAGAGAACAAATATCAAAGAAAATTCATCGTTCGCTCGGCCGGTCCGCTTCTAATCTCCATCTATATAAAGCCATCAAAACAAACAATTAGATTAGTACAACCTCGACTTGTGGGGTTTTGGAACTAGGGCTTAGAGGGGAAATCACTCGGATTTGCAATGGAGAAAGTCCACGAAAGGCTTCATATCCTAGCGGCCTCCTCTAGGCACATCCTTTAACAACCAGACCTAGGGGGTTCTAGGAAAGCAAAAATGTGAGATTTTAAGGTGTTATATTGTCGCAAAGGTTGTAGTCGTGTTCTCAACACTCTGACCTCACTCCATTGAAGTACACTCACGCTTTGTTCGGGGAAAGAAGAAACACTCCTCTACAAGGAATCCATTAACGCTCCAAACTCCGACCACCTCTCCTAGCAAGATGAAGCTCTTCCCCTTCAAAGGAGAAAAAGCTCTCTCCTCTTGATCAAAATTCCAAGAAAATCTTCCAAAAGCTCCACCACGCTCTTCTCACTGAAATAATGGAGGAGAAAGAAGAAATCTCAAGCAAGAAGAAGCAAATAGAGGAGGAAGATCGAGAATGACATCAGCTCCTCCCTTTTTTTTAGAATGGGCTTAGGTTAGTCTCGATGCCTTTTTTTGGGCAAAGGACCAAACAAAAAAGGATTATCTAGCGATCCCGGTGGCACGATCGATGCAAATATGTGGACCGCCTGACAAAGGTAACGCCTTGAGATTCAGCTGCGTGGCCACACTAAAATCGTGTGTGGTCATGCTACTTTATAAGGCATTGTTAATGAGGGCTCGGTGTGGTCAAGCCCGAGACCCAACGTAATTATGTTGGGCTCTCTTTCTAGGGCAGTGGTCGCACCACAGGTGCATCGGCTCTAGCCCAGGTTTCATAGGGCGCGGTCGAGCCCGTTTCTGGGATCGTCACGCCAATGTTGAGGCATGACCATGCATAGCTGGACCCTTACATATGAAGTGTCGGTCGGAGCGGCTTTAAGCCTTGTTCGGACTACAGGAAGCCCCAAAAAGATAGAATATGGTCTTCAAATATAAAAATGAGCATCTTGCACTTCTCGTACTGTAATTACTGCCGCACAAACGGTGAGCTTTCCCTGGTAGGGCTGAATTGGTACCGATCTCAATTTTGTGCTCGAGACATGTATCAGAAGGTTTGAATGGGAGGCTTGTTCTATGGGAAATTGAACACTGTCCCATTGCATTCAAGTGGACACCCTACACATACGACATCAAAGGAGATGCCAACAAGCTCGAGTCCAAGTCCAAGGGGCATGATAGCTTTCATGATAGCTTTCTATCGAGTCTTGCCTCTTGGGCTCGACTTCTAGGGGTACAGTATCTTCCAATAAAGTTTTATCGTTTCTTCCCATCGAGTCTTACCTCTTTGGCCTGAGTTCCACTGGCTTGGTGGAGATCTTGTCTGCCGCTTGCCCTCAATGAGATTTTCTACATAAAAATTACTCGTGAGAAAATAAGAAAATTTCACTGAAATGACAGTTTAAAGCACATCAAAATTTTGCTAGAATAAAATTAAGAGTTTATAGATCATTCTTTTACTTAAATAAGATAGTCTATAGTTGCATTTATCATTTGATAACTCTTAGGATTTTCTTCTGGTCCCCAAACCTCGCCCTTATAAGTAACGACCTAAGTGACATTGACGTATCAGACGTTCAATTTCTTCCTTTAGTTGAAAACATCTTTTCTGTTAAATGTCATTTCACTTTATTAAAATTACACTATTCATACTGGTCTCCACCATTTGGATTTTTTAATGTCCATGGCCACTTAACGACTTCTTCATCCTTGATTGCCATTAGGACTTTGACATGTGATGTGTTGAGTTGCCTGTACTCTTTTTCTGATTGAGGCTCAAGATTCCTCTGTCTTTTGAACTTTTTTCACTTTGAGATTTGATTTGTATCCCCGGTGTTATTCTTGCTCTTGCCCCCCAATCATTTGAATTGTTCCTTCTATGCTCTAATGGTTTCATCTACAAAGATTTGTGCTTCGACAAGACGGAGAATATCGACGTAATATTGAACTACCTCCCATATTAGTGATGAGTAGAA